CTGAATAGTTTGAGTATGAAAATGATGTGAATCATACACTATGGTCTTCACAGTCACCAGATCTCAACCCAGTTGAATAGCTACTGGACTAACTTGTTAGACAGCATCTCCAACACCATTATCAAAACACTAAATGAGAGAATATCTTCTAGAAGAATGGTGTTCATCCCTCCAGTATAGTTCAGAGACTGTTCTGGTGGCACGTGGTGGCCCAGCACCTCACTGAGACACTTTATATTAGGGTATCCTTTCATTTGTCACCTGTCTCTATGTATAGGTTTGTGTATTCGTATGTGTACGTACCACTCCTCTCTCCCAAATCACACTCATCCTGTCCTGGACTCCGGCCACTCCATGAGGGATCTTGGTGAAGTCTTCTTTGCCTAGAGCCCTCTGCTTGGTGCCAAATGGACGGTGCTCTGATGCCACAACGCTCAGAGTGTCACTGGAAACATGAAGTGCCAGAGCATCACCAGCTTAAACTTTCACTTATCATCGACATTTATGATGAAGGCTTTGATGCTGGTAGTCTGTTTTAGAGCACTGATACACACACACTGACACATACTTGCCCAGCAGGCCCATGAGGTAGCTGGGTGTGTTGGGGTCAAGGCGGAGAGGAGGGACAATGACATGGGCAGCAGCATGAGCCCAGTCCTGGTGGTAATACTGCATCCCATTCAGCACTGCGTGAGCCACTGTGGTCTCTGCGTGGACCACCTTACCTGCAGAGACAAAATGAAAAGAAAACAAAAGAACAAAGTGACTGGTTACAAGAAGATCATCTATACTTTATATCTTTACCACTATAAAATCTTCATGTTAATGTTTTTATTGCAGCTCACCTTGCATCTTAGCAGCAGCAATCATGTCTCCAGCAGACATACTGGACACATTCACCAGGTAGATTGGGCAGCGGGCCTGCAAGCACAAGCAGATTCATTCATTTATCAGTAGCACACAAACAAATGCTTACAGACAGGATATTAAAATTCAGTGCTGCTTCTGTTTACCCTGTTGGCAATGATAACAGCTCTGTGAGTAGCCTCAGACTCCAACTGTAGACAGTAAGACAGACAGAATCACAAAATGAGAAATGTAATAAGTATTCAGTATAAATGTATATAGTGGTTCTTTGTCACAAGCTTCTATCTATAGAAACTGCACTATGTGCACCATATGCATGGTCAGCCTGTTTAGCCATATGGGAATGACTTATTTCAATGTAGAAATGTATCACCTTTCCATTTAACACGGGTGGTTATTGAAAATTTTATTTCTCAGAGAGCATCAGCCATTCAGTGTTTTTAAATGCCAAACTGAGCACCAGAAATAATTATTCATACATTTACTCAAAAACATGCTTCTGTTTCTCTAACTTTTTGGGTGTTGAAAAAAATAAGCATAATACACTGAAACATATGCATTAAGGACATGAAAAGGAGAAAGAAAGGACAAATGAAAACCAAAAAGGAATCAGAAAATACAAAATCCTTTCTGTTCACGTACGTTTAGCAGAGCAATGAAAGTGAAAAAATATCAGCAATAAGATGCAAGTTTACCTCCTCTGGTCGACTGATCTCAATACCCTCCGGTCCAGTGATACCCAAATCCAGAGCCTCTTTGGCACCCTAATAACACATATACACTTCAACATCTGTTCAGTTTTATAAAAAACACAGGCATACAGATGATTAGAGCATGTGACACTCATACTATTGAAACAGTACAATCTGTGCAATTATGGAGAAAGTAAATTTGTTTGTGTGATTGTTTGCGTGTTTGTGGGTTGTGCACCTCTGCCACCAGCTCTCCATTCTCTGCATGCACACGTGCAATGGCCCCTATGTCTTTACAGGTCTGCAGCGTCTGGAACAGCTCAGAGTCCCTCAGCATCATCATGTCTTTGTAGGCCATGAACATCTGGAATGAGTTCACTCCATGTTCTCTCACTAGGGTCTCCATCTCGCTACGCACCTGATCACAAAAAAAAAAAAGTCAGAGGTCAAGGGTCTAAATCGTTTCTAGGAGCCAATCACACCTGAGTGCTTGCAAGGTTTGGTTCAAACTGGGAAAGGCAGTAGTGAAATGCATCAGGCAATGTGAATATGTGTGTGTGTTTGTTATATGGGGTGTGAAATGAACTTGGTTAGCAGCCACAAGGAGAAGAGCCTGGTTTCAGATTGGTGACTATCACAGTCTCACTGAGAATTCTGCTGCATAGAAACATCTACTTAATTCACTCAGAATGTAAAGAGAGATTATATACAGTAGTGCTCACCAAGTAAAATACTGCAATTACACAACAGTTAATGAGGTTTAAAGACATCATAAAATAACAAATATAAGCATATATGTTGAAGTTTTGGTGTCTACTGACTACTGCCAGCATTTTGACATAAAACCTAAATCTAATTAAGTACTGTCTCAATAGGAAAATACTCTGTAGGCAGCATCTCCCTCATTGCTAGACTTTAGACAATCTGGTGTTAAACATTTTACTATTTATGATGTGATTTGGCACATGCACAGAATCAGTGGAAGATACAGGACAGACATTAAGGCCAAAGGCTGAATGAGGCATGTTGACTCATAGAATCTGCCTAATGTGCCCACTGAATGTGTGTGTTAACCTAGTTCACATAAGGTTTAATCTAGGCCATTAGGTTGGGCTGCTTCTTTTTCATTCAGTGAGAATAAAAGTGTAAGGAGCAAAACAGTAAAGAAGGATATCTGCTTATAAAAGATAACACTGGGAGTGTTTTCAGGATGTTTATTGGCCCTGCGACATCTCACACTTTAACCCCTCTGTGGTTCTTACCTTTGGTCCCCACCAGGTCACTCCGACATGCAGAGCGTAGTCGCAGCACGTCTTGGCGTCAGCCAGAACTCGACACTTTTCGTAGGCATCCAGCAGGGAGCAGTGTTGTTCAGGAAAGACCAGAGCCATCACCATGGTGGTACCACCCATGAGAGCTGCCTGGATTAGGTAGGTAGGTACTTTATTAATCCCACAGTAGGGAAACTTCTTTGTTACAGCAGCAATAGAGAACAACCAACATAACACCATAAGAACAGAACTTCATAGAAACACAGGAAAGAACACAATGAGGAAACAGCTGCTGTAACTTGCTGCCACTCTGTGCGGCGCATGCGTACGTAAGTAGTCCTCACTAGGTGAGATGAGGGGGTGGGAAAGGGTCAGTTAGAGAGGAAAGAAGGAACAAAGGAACGAAGGAAAGAAGAAAGGAGGGAGAAAGAAAATGTGAGGCAGAGTGATAGAAAGTAGAGACTGAGCAGAGAACAATAATCCCACTGTACAACACAGAGACTGTTTGTCCTGATGACAGTGAGCAATAGTCATTATGAACTGTCTTCTCAGCATCAATAGTCTAAATACCAGTTGATTTTAAGCATGGTAGATGCAGAAAGATTGAGGTGGCTAATCACACACAGAACAAAAGTAGCTAGTTACCAGTTAGTATCTAGAAACCCCAGAAGCATGAGAGAAATAGCCTTTAATCAGGGTGAGCGTCAAGCTTTTCAATTCAAAACTTAACTGAAATGAATTGTTTTAATCTGACTTCTCTGAATCTGACACCCGTTTTTAATAGAAATCCAAGAATAGAAAAAAATGAAACATGAAAAAGAGGAGAAGAGACAGGAAATAACTGATAAGAGAAAAGCAGCAGGTAGAAAAAAGGTTAAGGTAGAGAAGAGAAAAAAGGATGGAAGACGAAGATGACAGGCTGGGAAACAGATGAGCTGATGAGAGTAGCCTGCAGTGACTTGTCTTGTTGGGCTGAATGATAAATGTGCTTTTGTGTAGACAAGGTTTACTCTTCACCAGTGCCCACTGTTTACCGTTGTTAAAAAGAGTAGACATTGTGTTTTATCTATTTGCATTTTATTGCTTGAAATACAAAACTGCTTTGAGGAAACATGAACTCTTTTTAATTTTATACCCCAAACAGATACTTTAATGTATGAATAACCTTTCAAATACAAGCTAAATTAAAACTGAATAGCTGCTGAATCGAATCCACTCTGAATCGTACTGTATCGTATCATTTCACCAACTACACCATTATGTAAACACAATATACTGTACTTCCCCCTTGGAGAGCAGCACAGCTAAAGAAGATGGTGACACATAAATCCCCAGTGTTTAACATCAACCCTCCACTCTATTAAAAACCCTTGACCCCTAGTGTGAAAATAGTCTGCTGACAAAAAGGAAAACAGACAGAGAGAGGGGGAGGAGTGAGAATGAAAATGTGCCGCATGTGCTTGTTTGGGCAAGGGAACATAAAGTGACATAAAGCACAGTCACACACATATCACTACTTGCACAGCAAAGCTATCACTATGGTCTGGTATGGTCAGAAAATGACTCAAAAACAATTTAGAAAATAGACCATTTAAGTAATTTATCAAGCAAAATAATCAAACTTTCACTGGTCCAAGATTCTCAAATATGAGAATTCACTGCTTTTCTCTGCTCTTACCATATCTTGTAAGTTGAACATTTTAATGGATCTCAGGTCTGGGTCAGGTAAAATTAGTAATCTGTAGGTGGAAATACGCTGTTTCCTGACATTTTATGAACACACAATCTAGTAGGTAAGACACGACAGTTCATTGTAACTTCCACAGAAACTTAATCAATCTTTAAACAATTCATATGTGAGATCCGGTAATGCCAAGTGTACATACAACACAGCTAATTATCTTGGAACAATATGAATGGATGGATGTGCAAACAGATCATCGATCCTGCTGTTCTATCCTTCTACTTTCCACCATTAGACCTTGTTATATAATTTGTCTGAGGCTGTATGGGGGAGAGTAGGGGGTGAGACAGAAGGAGGTGCAGCAGAGGAGGCAGCAGGGCAGGAGAAAGAGAAGGAAGGAGGGGAAGTATGAGAGGGAGCAGACTGTTCCAAAATGATGAGAGGAAGGGAAAAGGATGTGGAGGGAAAATAGTTTGGGGGTTGAGCACAATTGCAGATGCGCCGGTGCCATGGTAACACAGTCACCAGGGGGACCACACAATACTACCATGATCACATGCACACACACACCAATTTCCACAACAGGACTGGTGGTTAGTTGCCATCGCTGCGAGATCAGTGGGCAGGGGTTGGTGACTGGGGGAGGGTTTCCGGGGTAAAGCTGGCATAAGGAGGATTCAGTCCCCCCCAAATTCCTCTCAGCATACTTCAGCTGGCATCCCATTAAGTGTGGCCTCATTTCACTACTAAGATACAGCACTGCAAAGTCCCTGCAGTGAATATCATGTGCCACTTCCAAACACAAGTGCTTCAGATCTCCTCCAGATAATCACTTGCTTCTCCTGGAGGCCAGTAATGAAGGAAGCAAACATGCCAGGCCGGGTAGATGGATAGACAAAAATATCATGATAACTAGGCCTTTTTCAACATTGATATACAGCACTACATAAGTTTCAGTATGAATGTTCTCTCCTAAATGCTCCTAACTGCCACACCTCATACATCCAGATGATGCCCGATTAAAGACTCCAGTGACAAAAATATGCCAGGCAACAAAAACAGCCCACATCCTCCAAAGCATGTAGCTGCTGCAGGCAACAATCACACTGCTCCGTTTGAATTTTTAAGTCCCCTAATTATTGAATCATCCTCCTACTCTGAGGCTCAAGGGACTACAGGAAAATATGTAGAGCATCAGTAATCGTCCATATCCATGGTGAGCTAATAAATCCAGCACCAATGAAGACTGAGCAGCTGTGTGTGAGATGGTGTGAGCATGTAAAAAGAGAGGTCTTTGCTTTCAACCACAAACTAGTGACAACTGTTTGGGTGTGTTTCCTACAGGACCAGTGTGAAAGCATACGTGGTCATTATTCTTAATGAATGAATATGTGAATGCTCTCAAGGCAGAGAAAAAGACAGCTGTGTGTATGACAGCTGTGTTTAATTACAGGCATGCTGACAACCCTAGTCATAACACAGCTATCTCTGTGTGTGTGTGTGTGTGTGTGTGTGTGCGTGCGCGCTCATGTGAGTGTGTACCTTGGTCCCACTGTAGAAGTCATCCTGGATGGCGGCATTCATGAAAGTCTGCTGCAGATGCACGCTGGTGTCTATTCCACCTGGCAACACCAGCTTTCCAGAAGCATCAATCACCTTAGCTCCACCTGGTATCATCAGCTCCTTTCCAACCTGCCAAACAACACAGACACTCAAGTTACACATCTTTATTAATATGTAGTTTTGTCCACAGGTAGTAGGTATGTGCATTAAGTCAAATAAGGGATGCACTAGGTATTATGATGTGTATTTAATGCAGCTCCATTTACATATGTACAAGGTGTGTCCAGTATGTGTATGAGAATAAAATGTATACAGTGGCAATGAGTGTTAATAGTAATTACCTGCTGAATGATGCCATTCTCAATGTAGACATCTGCTTCCTGGGTGAAGTCGTCATTGACCACCTTCCCTCCCTTGATGAGGATACGCATTGACCCCATGTTGGCCGCCATAGTCCTACCAGAGTTAAGAAAAAAAACTGTTTTTTAACATCAATTATTACATTACAGAGCCTTGTCCGTGCAGATTCTCAGTCATCCAGGTCATAGTCATGGTCATACATGACTCAAGTCCAGTTGATTTTTTTCTACCTTGGTTCACAATGTAGATTATAACAAAATCTTCTTATTCTTGTGAGAAGAAAATGGGAAATGACAAAGAAAATGCTGATTCATGACTTATTTGATGTCTGAGTGGGGGTCCAAATGGAAACCCCTCCTTTTTTCAGCCATGAACCCTCCTTCCACTAGACTGTTTCTTTTCATAAATGCATTTCACCACCATTTAAATTACATTTAGCCTCATGCTAACCACTTTACATCTGTCCTACTGTACTGTACTGTAGACTGAGCCAGATAAACAAACCTTGTCCTGACAAAAAGCACATTAAATGAATAGAAATGTGTTATTGTTCCATGATTATCTAAATAGTAAGTGTGAAAGATAACTCCAGGTTTGAAGCTCTGAGAAAAGTAAGTGGGCATTGAGCGATGTTTTTGAAGAAACACTTCCTTTTCAGCATTAAATGAATTTATTATTGAACTGTCAAAAGGATATTTAACTTTAAAAAATCCTAGGATTTGTTTAAAAAGCTGGACTTGCACCTCTCTATTCAGGAACCTGGCCTTTCCAAAGATCCTTTTCAGAGTTTTTCCACAACAAATTTAAAGTTATTGGCAAAAACATTATGAGAGGCATTGTGGTGTCTTGTGGTTTGGGATTTTTAGTTGTTGTTTTAGCTACAATTTGGTGTTGCAAGTCTGTAGCATTACTTTTTGTCCCACAATAGCTAATTTTTTGTGAGCCCTGTAAATATGAACACTCTGGATCAGCACATCCGGAATATTACTTGGATTCAGATTAAAACTTGGTGTGTGGTAGGTGGCATTTTTGTCCAAGGAGTGTAGGTAGGAATTATGTATGGAATTAGAGGGAAAATACTGAAATCAACTCTATGGTGGTAATTCCTTTAAAAACAATTCCTGGATACCCTACCTCTCCAAAACAATTTCATCTATTCATTACTTTCTGATTTATGCTGTGAACAAACCAATAAACAATGGTTAAAAACAACCTCCATGTCTGAGGTAAAAACAGATAGAGCACTATAAATAGAGAGGCAGAGGATTAAGGACGGCCACAGAAAGAGTCCACTGGTAGAAGAAAGGAGTGATTGTGCAGAGAGAGAAAGTGTGGTAGACATGGCAGTGGTGGTGGGGGTGTGCAGTATGGAAAGCAGTGTGCTGAAGGCCTTTGAGCCAGACTGGTTTCCCAGGAGATGGGAAGTGGAGAGCATTCAGTGAAAAAAGGCGTGCGCACACACACACACACACACACACACACACACACACAACATGGTGTGGAGTACTAAAATGCCAGGACTGATTTGCCACTTAAAATCAACACAAACATAGAGGGCCATTGTGTCATTTTAAGTGACACCTCAACCTGCCTGACCTTCTAACCTGGAGCTGCAGTGCCCCCATCAGGGCAGTCAGTGTAAAGCACAAGATTTGTAGTACAGTATAGTATAGTAAGAAAGTCACTTTCAGCTTTTCCAGGTTAGGGGTCGCCACAGCGAATTGTCAGACTGACAACTCGCATGTTGACATTTGGCATGTGTTTTATGCCAGATGCCCTTCCTGATGCAACCTGGATTTGAACCCGGAGCGCTGCAGCAAAAGTGCTGCACCTTAACAACTAGCCTACCAGGGATAGCATTTGTAGTACACTATAGTAAAGTATAGTAATCAATTAATCAACTAATGCTTTGTCTCAATGTTACTGCACAATATGGCCAAACACTGTTTAGCTGTTCTCAGTGTGTACACTGACAAAGAGAACTGGAGGAGGCTTTTCTTGGGCTCTGACATTTAGCCTTCAGTCATCAATGCTCTGTCTGTGTTACCACTATAGTTTTCTGACTGACTCCACTGGCCCTAATACACAAATTTCATTATTCACTTCAGCCTCATGACTCTGTCAGAGACAGTCTGGCCTGTCTGACTGGCTGTTCGGCCTCCTAAAAGTAGCTTTATGTGCCTGTTACCTATATATATGGTAATAAAGTGATCTGAGGCCACATGAAGAAATGGGATTGTGCTTGAGGTGACAGATGATACGTGGTACAACATAAAAGCACCATGAGGCTGTGATATAATGTCAGGTGTTATAACAGCGATGTGCAGGTGCAGCCACTAGTTGTTAAGGTCAGCTTGGTGTGTCACAGCCCTAAGGCTACTGCAAACACCAACTGTCTGCAAAGGTAGTGTGAAGCTACATTTTTGTTTTTCATGTTAAAACATGAGATGGCTTCATGCAGAGCTATTTTCAGAAAAACGCCTTAGAAACAGTTTAAATTTGACATAGTAGCTGCTGACTTCATCAGATGTCTGTTCCTGGGTGAGTGCAGACTACATGTGTGGTAAATGTGTGCAAGTCCATGCTGTACTGTAAGTGAGAAGAAAGGAGCAGACAGCTGCTTGATCCGGAGAGTAATCACAACAGGGAGGGACAGTGTACAATGCATGCACGTGTGAACAGCAGAGCTATTTAAAAAGCCAAGACAAGCGTGCATAGGACACGCTTATAACCAAGTGGAGATAAGAATAGACACTGAACACACACAATGAGGTTTAAAGAGTTGTGCCTGCCACTGGAGGTTCAGGGATGAATATGTCATTAGCGAATCACACACAGATAAATAGACAATAACAGCAGCACTCACATAACTAACTATAGCATCACTCTGCAGATTAAGGGCATCTCTCTGAGCACTCCTATTATGATGCATTTGTGTATGTTGGTGAAGGGTAACAAGGCATATCTACAGATTCTCCTACATTTTCCCTTTGCTGTCCCCTTTTACTTAAGAAAATCACTACAAACATTTTTAAAAAGTTACCTAGAGACAGTGTTTATGCTTTACTTTTGCTTTTTGGTCTGATCTAGTTCAAGTTCAAGGTCAAAGTGTTTATTTTGTCATATGCACAGTTAGGAAACGTGTTTCCCTGTACAATGAAATTCTTACTTTGCCGTCCACATGAATGTCACAAAATACAAACGAAATATAAAATAGATAAATAAATAACAAAATCTAAGGCACTTTAAGCAGCGCAGATGCAGCAATATAGTAGAAAACAAATATACAAGAATATAACAGAATGTATGCTGCATGGGAGCAGCATGTGCAGCAGAGTCGTGCAATTATGCATGTAACACAAAATCTAGGACACTTTAGGCAGCAACAAATGCAGCAATACAATAAAGAATATAATAGAGAATGTATGCTGCATGGGAGCAGCATGTGCAGCAGTCAACAGTCATTGTGCAATTATGCATGTGCAAACAGAATGTAAACAGTACATCACGTATTTCCTGGTAATAAACAACTCCTCTGCCATCAGACTCCTAAACAGCTGAGGAGTTTATTACTACTCCTCAGCTGTTTAGGAGTCTGATGGCAGAGGAGGAGTTTATTACCAGGAAATATCCTGATCTATCCTCTAACCCTCTCTCCTGTGCACAAAGGTTTTGCACAAAGATGTTTATTAATACATATACACAATTTGCTCTAATGCTAGTAAAGGCCCTGACAAACTCAAAGCCTGACACAGATGTCGACACAAGATGCACACATTTTTCTGTTAATACCACACTGGCAGACATGTTTATATTCACATACAGCATGTCATCGGTACATTGTTTGGTTGTGCCTACTGACAGGTGACAAATTAAAGGAAAAACCTGAATGCTTGAACCCTGCAGTGCAGAGCTTCTCTGGCTGTTATGCTATGCAGGGCATTTTGCTTCCTCAGAGGGAAGAGTCACTGCAAATCAATACAAAGTTCTTCTGAGTGATCACCTTTATCCTATGATGAAACATTTCTATCCTGAAGTGCGCGGTCTCTTCCAGGATGACATTGCCCCCATCCACAGGACATGAGGGGTCACTGAATGGTATGATGAGTAAGAAAACGATGTGAATCATATTCTATGGCCTTCACAGTCACCAGATCTCAACCCAGCTGAACACCTATGGGAGAGTTTGGAGCAACATGTTAGACAACATCTCCACCACCATCATCAAAACACCAGGAGGGAATATCTTTTGGAAGAACGGTGTTCATCCCTCCAGTAGAGTACAGAAACTTGCAGCATCAGTGTCAAGGTGCACTGAAGTTGTTCTGGTGACACGCTGTGGCCTAGCACCTCACTGAAACTCTTTATGATGGGTTGTCCTTTCATTTGACACCTGTCTGTAGTCTGTGAGGCTGCGTATTTTTACTGCTACTGTTCAATTTATACACCCTGGATGCCCGGACCCAGAAGAAATGCTACACATTTAGGCTAGCATAAATATACTTCCATAATGATGAGTGTAATAATCACCAAAACCCCTGGGGACCATCTGTGGCACTTTAAGGGATCAGTGTACTTCTAATGAAGTAGATAAAGACATACAGTTAGAGTGGAATATTTGCTAAAACAATTAGTCATCTTAATAGACAGATAATTGCTGACAATGCTGGAAACTGATTAATAATTTGTTTCAGTCATTTACCACTTATCCATCTAGCCATCTATTACTTATAGCTGCTTTTTCTTTGCAGGCATGTTAAGGGCTGCTGCAGCTGGTACTAGGTGGGAGGCAGGGAACACCCCGCACAGGCTCCTAATCTAACCCAACTATTAATGAACATCGATTCACACTCATGTTCATACCTACGGGATATTCTTCACAATTAATCTGACCTGCATGTTTTTGGATTGTGAGAGGAAAGTGCACAGGGAGAACATGCAAACTACATATACACACAGAAATGCCAACAATGTCACACAGAGTTTCGAAGCAACTGAATCATATATTTACTTCTACTACTTCTACTACTGCTACTAACTGGAACTACTACAACTTCACAAATTTTTTACTTGATTTGATATCATTGTAAATGTGTGGTTTAATTTGTTGTAGCTATTTTAACATTTTGCAGAGTAAGAGAAAATTCTAATGTGTTAGTGTTTATGACAACAACAGAATATATAGTTGCATCCCTAATGTGTAGGCCAACAGCTACACCATCTAATTAGGATCCTTTCTAATGTATTCATCTGACTGTGCTGCACTGAGGCCACCTGGAGCCCCCTGAAGCACCCTTGAGTATCCTTAAACCAAATGATGTGAAGGCCTGATCCATAAAACCAGAGCAAGCTTGCATGCAAAACCCTCCATACAATATCCAACAAAGGAAGGGAATCAAATCACCTGTTCAGTGCAAATTCTGCACCCAACACAATCACACCACAGCGGGCTCGTTTGTATTCACGACGACTTCAAACCCTCATCATCAACATCGGCATCACCGTGACTCAAAATATCAGGTTCAACTGAGAACAGCCATTAAACGAACAACAGACTTACATAACGGGCAACACACACGCGCGCACACACATTCACTGTCTTGCACTGATGGCACGCCAAATTAATACGCTCATATCTCACCCACATTTCGTCTCCGAAAAGCATAAGTGGCTAACGTTAGCTTGCAACACACGACCACTCATCAATTTCTCACTGAATTTATGTGAAATTTGAAGACTGTCATTCATTTTGATCAATTGTGGGAAAAGAGAAATTCCAGTATGAAATCATTCACATTCAAATGAAAACAGAGAAACACACTGAAATGTAAAATAGGCAAGAAAAAAACTGGAAATCTGATAAAGATGACATAACTGTAGCTACCAATCAAGAAATTAACGGCCATTAACATTAGAACCCAGTGGGTAACGTTACTGGCATTGAACGACATATAAGACAGAATTTCAACGGTCTAAATAAAAACACTATTTTGTCAACGAGTATTACATCTTATAAAGTAAACCATTACATCTAAGTTCTCCCCATCATTTTTGGTCTCTCACCTTTTTCTAGCTTCCCAGAACCTCCTCAGCAGGAGCCGCCCTGCACTTTGACCAGCACCAGCCGAGTGCGCGAGGACAGTTGGCACAGCGCGAGCCGCAGACGCTTGTTCACCGACAGTACGGCATCAGCCAATCAGAGACCGCTCAAACCAGCGCAAAGGAAACACTAACCAATAGAGGACAAGAGGTGTCTAGCGAAGGGGTATCCGTTATTAGTGGGCAGGGGCGTGTCTCCTCCAGTCGGTCCTGCCTTCAAATGCTGTATGGTAGTTAACACCTGTGAGCTGATAGCCTCATCGTCGAAAATAAATAAATAAACAAACACCACAAGGTCCATTAGCAGCTGTTCTGGGTTGATTTGTCAACTATAAATACAATGGGGCTTCCACAGAGTGCTGAATTCATTATCTGAATTGCCTACTTTTGTAAATGGGAGATTTTAGGTTTTAAAATGTTTGCAAAAATTATTGAAATTGGATCTGTGCGCAAAAATGTTAACTTTATCCATTTAAAATAAAACATATAACCCAAAGTATGCAAAAAGTGAAGGGTCATCTCTAAGCACCTTGGTAAAAAAGAACCATATCTTAGTCATTACCTCATTAAAGTCATGCATGATAACTTCAAAGCTCCACAGGCATAAAATGAGAAATCTGCAGAAATTCTGACTGCTGTTCTTAATAAATTCCCACAGGTTGACAACCTGTCACTCACAAAACAACAGAAGGAAAATGCTTTTGTGTCATTGTGTTAATTTGATGATGAACCGATTTTAGAGAGAAATGACATTAAAGACATTAAAATACTGTGAGATGTTGGAGAAAAGCAAACTAAAAAACTGAAAATGAAATTGAACTCTGACTTGGATTCTAGTAGTTATACCCCAAACCGACACACAGTTATAACACTGAGGCTAAATCACAAGAAACAGTCCTTTTTTATTCACGTTTCATTTCTTACATTGTTCAAGTACAAAGTTAAAATGCCTTTTTAATTAGTTCATATTCATACAAGAGTAAAATAATAATAGTGCCTTTTCATTACTACGACAAACTTAAATACAGTCATTGTAAAGACAAATTTGATTTATACTCCTAACAATATATTTTTCTTATTTTCATATAGAATTTTAGCACCTTTTGAAACACACCCAGGTCCTCTTTTTCCTAAAAGCTCATCTTTCATTTAGTCCATGAGATGAGTGTCTGCATGCGCCACAGCATTGTATTTGTTGGTGTTGTGCATGTATCTCTGCGTCTGAGCATCAGTCGCCCTGTGTGTCGGTAACAGTGTTTTGTGTGTGTTTGTTTGTAAATGTATCAGTGTTTAAAACAGCGCATCACTCAGCCTAAAAGCTCTTGATAGGCGAACAGAAACATCATCACCGTGTCACCCATCATTTCCCAGTATCGTCTCCATTCCTCGTCTTATGTCCAATTGCACTCTCGGGCAGATGCATGTTGAAATAACACTTATGTTGTGTGTAAAGACACACAGTGAGTCAAAAATGGCCAGTGGTTCCCAAACTGATGTGAATTCTTGCACTCTGTCAGTTTGTTATTTCAGGAACCTCAGCTTCTTACAATCTTTGATATTAATATTTTCCAAATTTATATTTTTATATACAAGAAAAAACTCAAAGGGGGTCATATTCTAGATTATTTCATGTCTCATTTTCAAACTAATAAGTATAGCAAAATTTTCAAGCAAGGGTCCTAAATTAGAAAGAAAAAATACTAATTTCAGTGCGTCATTCATGTTGTAGCACAGTAGTTCCCAGACTATTTGGTTTCTGAGAATGAAGTTATCTACTTGTGCATCCTGTGTGATAGTAATATGCTATCCATGAATATGGATAAAACTAAATTTATGGTATTTGGGAATCGCAGACTAGATAACGAACTGCAAGTGAAAATAGGGGGAGCCAGTATAGAACGAGTATATGAAATTAAATTTCTAGGTGTCATAGTGGATGATAGATTCACCTGGAAATCTCATATCAGATATATTCAGCATAAAATAGCAAAAAACATATCGATATTGGC